TGAACCAACGGCAAAGGAAGACCTTTCTCTCTGTCTCTCTCTCTCACTGTCCACTCTGCCTGTCAAAAAAAATTAAAAAAAGAAAAAACAAAAAAGAAAGAAATACTTCAGCATGAGAATACCAATGATGTCTTTGAAGATGATTTACTTGAAAGGCAGAGCAACAGAGAGAGAAGGAAACAGATCTTCCATTCACTGGTTCACTTCCCAATTGACCACAATGGCTAAGGCTGGACCAGGCCAAAGCCAGCAGCCTGGAACTCTATCCGGGTCTCCCACGTTGGTGTCAGGGCTCCAAGCACTTGGACCATCTTCTGCTGCCTTACCAGGCATGTTAGCAGGAAGCTGGACTAGAAGCCAAGTAGCCTGGTACTCCCAATGTGGACAGCAAGCATCGCAAGTGGTGGCTTAACCTGCTGTCCCACAACGTCGGCCCTTCCAGTGATGTTTTTGATACTTCTAAGATAATAAAAATCCCATGGTCGCATCGAATTGCCAATTCCAAAATTACAGTGTCTGGTTTTATGTAATAGTTACAGCTTTCAATGCACTCAAAGCTGCAGTTGTTTCCCCTCCCCCACATAGGGACCTAGTGGCAGCAGGAGCCTGCTGCAGGGTAGGGGATGTGTGCTTTGTTTTTCTCCTCCTCCTCACTGCCTTTGCTGTTTCTAACCTCTGTGCTATTGCTGTGAGAGGGAGAGAGTGGGTGCTTGGACCAGGGTTGTGGCTGACGCCTGCAGACCTAGCAGGTGTCTAAAGCTGACTCAGCGGCCGGTGCCACGGCTCTATAGGCTAATCCTCCACCTAGCGGCACCGGCACACAGGGTTCTAGTCCTGGTCGGGGCGCCGGATTCTTTCCCGGTTGCCCCTCTTCCAGGCTAGCTCTCTGCTGTGGCCTGGGAAGGCAGTGGAGGATGGCCCAAGTACTTGGGCCCTGCACCCCATGGGAGACCAGGAGAAGTACCTGGCTCCTGCCTTTGGATCGGCGCGGTGCGCCAGCCGCAGTGCACCAGCCGTGGCGGCCATTGGAGGGTGAACCAACGGCAAAAGGAAGACCTTTCTCTCTGTCTTTATCTCCCTCTCACTGTCCACTCTGCCTGTCAAATAAATAAATAAATAAATAAATATAAAGCTGACTCAGGTGGGGTGCTCTTGTGTGTAGGCATTTTGTAAGTCCCTTTCCATGACCTCTCCTCTGCACTTCCGGTGTGGCCAATGCACTTGCCCTGGCCCGGCCATTCACTCCTTGTGTAGCTCCTGGGGAACAGGACGTCTGCCACTACTGTCAGCTGAGGACCTGTCAGCCCCCTGGGCAGCTATATAAGGGAAAGGACCTAAAACAGCCCCACCCCAGCTCATCCACACATCCCCTTCTGCAGCAGGTTCTGGGAGCGCAGCCAGTCCCAGTGATGCTGCCATGCAGCCCACCCACCCATCTGTGAGCTCTAGGCCTGTCAGGCAGGAAGCAATGCCAGGCAGCCCACCGTGTCCCCCATTGGAAGCTCCCCTCACCCAGCCACAGCGGGAGACCAGGGCCGCCCATTCTGCCCAAGGAGGTGGGCCTCATCGACCCCTCATCCTGAGGAGTTGTTTGCACGCTCTGGGCGCCTGTCTCCAGCACCCAGTCCTGTATGTACTTGGTGCAGGACAGGTTCTGTAACAGCGTCTCAGACATTCCCTCTGAAAATCTGCATCTTTGTCTCGCACCTCACTCTGTGTCTGAAATCTGTCACCCCAGGGCTTGGCTAAAGCTACCTTTTCAGCTCCTGCTTTTGTGATTTGATGTGGATTTATGGCTGTGGAGAGCAAATAATCCTGATAATAAGTCGGCAGCTACTTCTTGGGCATCTACTGTGTGCAGCCACAGCCCTGGCAGGCCGGCAGTCCAGGGCAGCTGACAAGCTGCAGCCGCTGGTTCTGCCGTTGACATATTTTGGCTGATCCACGTAATCTCTAGATGTTTCTTAAATCCATTGCCAGTATTTACAAACTGAGAGATTTTACTTAAAAAAAAAAATACAGCTCTCTGACTCGGGGGAAAAAAAAACTCAGAAGAGGTAGTCTCGCTGGGCCTGTGCTGTCGGCTGGCATGTTAGCTCGAGGTGTGGAGGCTTCCATCCTCCGGTCTCCGGAGCATGTGGTCTCCAGATGGCCTCCATGCCCTCATGCTCTCATACTGAAGCCAAGCGTCCGTCGCTGTTAATCGTCCATGGGCTCACACAGTTTCGTTTTCTTAAATTAAAGAATAAAGTGAAATATTTCTGGTACTCAGTGATTCTGAATAAAAGAGAGAAAGCAACAGGTAGTTCAGGAAAACCATGGAGAAGGCCCAGCATTTCTTCAGATACAAAGTGTTCTATATGGTGGTTTTTGTTTTGAGAGACAGAGCTCACCCACCCACTGGTTTACTCCCTAAATGCCTGCATCCAGCAGGGCTGGGCAGGGCTGGGCAAGGCCGGAGCCAGTAGCTGGGAACCCAATCCTGGTCTCTTGTGTGGGTGTAGGAACCCAGTTCCTGGAGACATCACCACTGCCTCCCAGGGGCTGCGTTAGCAGGCAGCTGGAATTGGATGTGGAGTGGAGACTCACTTGAGTACTCTGCTGTGGCACTTGGGTGTCTTAACTGCAGGCTCAGTGCTCACCGCAGGGGTGGTGCTCTGTGCACCTGAAGGAGGAAACTTTTCTGGCGTCTCTGGAAGGAATCCAGGGCTGAGCTGAGGTCTGAGGCGCGGCAGCAAGCATGGTAGGTGCTCCAGGGTGGTCGCCACGTGGGGAACGAGCAGCAGCTGATGAGCCTGCCTTTTCCTGGAATGACAAAGCAGCATGGTTGAGAGTTGTAAACTTGAAACTAACTCTTTTTGCAAATTATTTTTAGGATTTTAAAAAATGTAAACCTCTTTTGCCCCCCACCCCCTTCTCACAAATTCTTTCTTAAAGAAAGTCTCCCAGCTATTTATCTGAGTTAGAGCCAAGCAGTTATTTTGAGGAAGGGCTTCCACCGGGTGCCCAGGGGCATTCTCCTGGGAGGGGAGCTGTCTGTGTCCTAGTTGCTATCTCCAGGCTTAAGAAGAGGACTCCTCATCACCACAGCTCAGCCCTGAGCCTGGCCTGAACTGGCTTTGCAGGATGATCCCCGTGAGGGGCCCATCAGTGTGTGTGGCTTCCCTCTCTTGGCTGAGTTCCCTGAGCCTTGCTGCCTAGCCTATTTCAGCCAGTGTTTTGGTATTGGTTTTCTGTTATATCCTCAGATCAAGCCAGGCCAGCTGAGAACTGCCTTCATAGACCACTTGTTTTAGTACACACACACACACACGCACACGCACACACACACACCCTCCTTTTGCAATCATTGACCAAAGCTGGAAGAAACTATGCCATGACACTTCCTACCATTTGCCCGATGCAAATACTTTCTGAGATCACAGGGAATTTCCCTCTAACTCTGAGTACCAGGAATAGTTGCGATTCTCCCGGTTTATCTGTGGACTCTGTGAACCGCAAACCCATTGCTTCCAGCTTTGTTTTTTAGCCACAGGAAGTCCAGGGACCAGAGCTGTGTGCCTCCTCTGGAGAGCACCCAGGGCCTCAACACATTCACTCTGGTGCCCTCCTTACCCCAGAGACAGTTACTGTTTTCCCCATGCTTACTTCCTCTTTGGCCCCCAGACCCAAACATCCATTTTAAAATCTTGTACTCTATACAGTTTGTAAAACCTCTTCAACCTCCTTAGGCAAGACACTGGAATATTAACAATGTATCATTTGTTGCAGACAGCTTGCCAATGTGTTTAAGTTTTATTTTAGGTATTTATTTGAAAGTGTATTTATTTCAAAAGCAGAGGCGGGGCGGTAGGGAGAGATCTTCCCTCTACTGGTTCACTTCCCAAATGGCTGCAATAGCCAGGTCTGGGCCAGGCTGAAGCCAGGACTCCATCCTGGTCTCCCAAATGGGTGGCAGGGACCCAAGCACTTGTCCGTCTTCTGCTGCCTTCCCAAGTGAATTTGCAGGGAGGTGAATTGGAAGCTGAGTAGCTGGAACTTGAACCAGCACTCATATGAGATGCTGATGTCACAGGCAGTGGCTTAACTCACTGGCCACAAAGCTGGCCCTTTAAATTTTATTTTAACTCTCCTATTCTTTGAGCAATCAGATTTACCCCTTCTTTATGGTTACCAGGAAGGGCATGGCTGTTACATCTTACCCCAGAGTTGACCTGGAGGGTGCAGCAGTTAGATGCTTAGAGCCTAGAGGAAGCAAATGTTGCTTCTTATTTTTTTTTTAAGGTTTATTTATTTATTTGAAAGTCAGAGTTACACTGAGAGAGGAGAGGAAGAGAGAGAGAGAGAGAGAGAGAGAGAGAGAAAGAGAGGTCTTCCATCCACTGGCTCACTCCCCAATTGGCTGCAACAACCAGAGCTACACTGATCCGAAGTCAGGAGCCAGGAGTTTCTTCTGGGTCTCCTACGTGGGGAGGGGCCCAAAGAATTGGGCCATCTTGTACTGCTTTCCCAGGCCATAGCAGAGAGCTGGATCAGAAGTGGTGTAAGCAGAACACGAACCGGCGTCCATATGGGATGCCGGCACTGCAGGCGGCAGCTTTACCTGCTACGCCACAGCACCAGCCCCCAAACGTTGCCTCTTCTCCAGGGTCCAGTTTTGTGCTTTACTGAATTTCAGTCCCAAGCACCATGTTGTTACAGGAAGGCAGCATCAGACCAGTTGACGCAGCATCTATGCCAGCATCAGACCAGTTGACCTAGAAGGCCTGGGAAGTGCCTTGTGTGGCACTTAGTTCTTCACAGGCTACGAGCTGAGCAGGTGTTTTTGAGACTTCTGCTTAAGCGTGGCAGGGTGCCTCTGGGTCTGTGCCTTGCAGTGGTTGCATTGTCTTCTTTTCCGAGGTGGGTCTGTCCCCTGGGGTGAGATCCGGGGACTGTGATCCACTTAATGTCAGCAGCGGCCCGACTTCCTTGACATCTTCTGCTTCTTTCTTTTTCAGAGTATGATCGGCTGGGCTTCCTCCTGAAGCTGGACTCGAAACTGTGAGTAGAGTGAGAAGTGCCCGGGCTCCGCGGGGGAGGGGGCTGACCTTGGAGTCAGCTAGCAGATTCCCTAGGGCCTCCGCCCTCATGCTGTCAGCAGAACCTGCAGGGTCCTTGGAGCCTGGGGTGGTGGATGTCTGCGTGGGCCTTAGATTTGCCTGGCACCAGGCAGCTCCTTACTGATGGCCCCTGGCCCGGTTTGTGTGACAAAGAGGCCTCTGGGAGAACTTCTGCAGAGCAGAGGATGGTGGGGTCACAGCAGGAGGCGATGGCGTCTCAAAGATGGCCTGCTTCTTGGCAAGCAAAGCCTTCCCTGATGGACCCCCACCCCACTCCCCTCAGCTTCAGTTACTGTCACGCCTGCCCCAGGTAAACCTGTTCTCACCACCCTTTTTGTTCTGCTTCTTATCGGTGCCTGAAACTCTTTCCTTGCCAGGCCACTTGGAAAACTCAAAGACCACTTCCTCCCCACACAAAATCAATTGTCTCTTCCTTTTGGGTTTTCTACATCTGTTACCAGTTGTCTCACAATACTATAATTAGCCAAGTAGTAATTATTAATTTGTTAAAGGCACAGACTCGGAGCCAGGTGAAGCTTGATTCAAATTCTAGATGGACATTTATTTAACTTCTGAGAGCCTCCGTTTCACCTTAACTTAAAGAAAACAGTGTGGGACCTGTGCTGTGGCGTAGCAGGTAGAGCCGCTGCCTATAGTGCCAGCATCCCACATAGGCGCCGGTTCGGGTCTCATACTCTACTTCTGATCCAGCTCCCTGCTACTGCGCCTGGTAGTTAGGCCCCTGCACCCATGTGGGAGATCCGAAGGAGGCTGCTGGCTCCTGGCTTTGGATTGGCCCAGTTCTGGCTGTTGTGGCCATTTGGGGAATGAACCAGCAGAAGGAAGATCTCTCTTTGTCTCTCTCTCTTTCTCTCTCTCTCTGTAACTCTGCCTTTCAAATAAATGTCTTTTTAAAAAAATTCTTAATTTAGTGCTCTGGGCCCCAAACAAATCAACTATAATTCCTAAGCCAATGAAATGCCACCAGAATAGAAGAGATGTAGTAAACATGGAGTCAAATCACATTGATGAACAAAGACATGTTAACTGGGACATGTGAACTACAGTATTTAAACTGTCCTCAGCAGTGTGAGGAGGAGGGGGGAGGACACCCTGCCCCGCTGTCCTGGCAGTGGGTGGTACAGAGCGGGAGGGGGAGGACACCCTGCCCCACTGTCCTGGCAGTGGGTGGTACCGAGCAGGCTGTCCGGTAGTTTTCTTTCACGAACCAGGCCACTTCCATCAGCCCGGTCTTTAGCCCAGGGAGTTGGCTTGGCCTCACCTGATTTAACTACACTGTAAGGTTCAAGCTAGAGCTTTCCTACCTCTTGCTGGAAAGGCTTTTCCAGTCCAGTGCTATCTTTAGATGACAGCACGAATATGTGAGAAGGATGCTGCTTGAGGGTGGGGAGGTGGGGGCAGCGCCGATCTTAGCATGTTCAGATCCCCCTGTGGCGTCCTGCTCTGGTAAGTGCTCTCTTTCAGGTGCTCAGGAAAGGACCTGAACTGGGATCGGAAGAACTGGATTTGGACTCTGCCTCTGCTGCTTAGATCACGTGACCTTAGATAATTCATTTTAGCTTTCTCAATCCCAGGTTTCTTTATGAAAAATTAATACTAGAAAGTATGAGTAGATATACAAATTTCCTTTGTTTTGTCTTGATTGGGATTCGTTAAACTTCCTGAGTGTAGAATTGATGTGTTCTGGACTAGCATAGTGGCTCAGCTGGTTAAGCTACTGCCTACAACACTGGCATCCCATATCAGAGGGCCAGTTTGAGTCCCAGCTGCTCTACTAATGGTCCTGAAAAGCAGCAGAAGATGGCCCAAGTATTTGGGACCCTACCACCCACATTGGAGACCTAGATGAGCTCCTGGCGTCTAGCTTCAGCCTGGCCCAGCCCAGATGTAGCAGCCATTTGGGGAGTGAACCAGCAGGTAGAATTCCCTCTTTCTCTCTCTCCCTCCTCCCCCACCTTTCAAATAAATATATAAACTTTTAAAAAATTTACATGTTCTAGAAATTTTTCAGCTATCATCTCTTTAAATCTTCTGCCCTATTCTCTCTTCTGAAACTTATTGAATTTGAGACCTTCTCATACTAGCTTCTGGATCTGTTAACATCTCTTTCGCATTTTCTTTCTTTCGATCCTTTCCACATTGAACTCAAACCCCAAAGGACTCAGCATAAGATGAATAAGAACTTAAGCTGCACCCTCAGCAGAACTGCAGGAAAGGTTACCATAGCTCTGAGTGAATCTGAGCAAAAAGGTAATAGAATAGCAACACTTGTTCATTGCCAGAGTCCTCATCATCCAGGTGATCCGGGGGCCTCCAGTCCTGAGCTCAGTTTAAGGCGTTCCAGACCGACAGTGCCTGCAAGCACCTGGCAGAAGCAAATGCAAGGCCTCTCTAGAGAAAGAGGAATTCTTCTCAAGTAACTATTCAAGGAAGCAAGGGGCTACAGCAAAAAGCAACTAAACAAGCATCCATCAGTGAAAACCAAAAAAAAAAAAAAAAGACAACAAAAGAAGACCCTTAAAGATTTCTGAAATTGGAAGTACAAAGTTTATGAAGCAATTACACACATACACACTATATTTAAAGAGATAAAAGACAAAGCTTGAACTATATGCATGGAATAGGGAAATATAAAAAGTAAAATATTAGGTTAGAAAAGCAGTGACCCGGGCTGGTGCTGTGGCGCAGCGGGTTAGTGCCTTGGCCTGAAGCACTGGTATCCCATATGGGTGCCAGTTCGAGACCCGGATGCTCCACTTCCGATCCAGCTCTCTGCTATGGCCTAGGAAAGCAGTAGAAGATGGCCCAAGTCCTTGGGCCTCTGCACCCGTTGGGAAGAAGCTCTTGGCTCCTGGCTTCAGATCGGTGCAGCTCTGGCTGTTGCGGCCATTGGGGAGTGAACCATCAGATGGAAGACCTCTCTCTCTCTCTCTCTCTCTCTGCCTCTCCTCTCTCTGTGTAACTCTGACTTTCAGATAAATAAATAAGTCCTTAAAAAAAAAGAAAAGCAATGACCACAATTTAAAACTCAATAGATGGCTTTAGTGGCAAATTAGATGGAAATGAAGATAGTTAATGAACTGGAAGATAAATCAGAAGAAATTATTTATGAGGAGTTAACAAACCTTTTCTGTAATAGGCCAGATAGTCAGTATTTTAGCATTTTTGAGCCTTCTTATTTCTATTGCAAGTACTCACCCCTGCTGTGTAACATGAAAGCGTGTCACTGTTGCATAGACTGTAAGTATGGCTGTCGTCCAACGAAACTTTGTTTATGGACACTAAAACTTTCATGTAATTTTTATGTATCATAAAATATTATACTTTCACATTTTTTTCCTACCCATTAAAAATGTAAAAACATTATTAACTCACAGTCATACAAAACACAGGTGGTGGGTTGGCGTTGGCCCATAAGTCAGAGTTGGCTGACCTTTCGCTGAGAATACAACACAGATAAATTACATGAGAATGACTTTCTCACCCAGATATTTTCTGTTCTGTTATATGGAAATATTGTTAACATTGCTGACTGTCCAGTCATAAAGTCTAGAAATAGATATTTTTTATTTTTAATATTAAACTTGTTGTTTTTTATTTATTTGAAAGGCAGAGAGAAAGAGAGAGAGACCTTCCATCTGCTAGTTCACTCCCCAAATGCCTGCAATAAAAGGGGCTGGGGCAGGCTGAGGCCAACAGCCCAGAACTCAGTCTGAGCCTCCCACATGTGTGGCAGGTACCCAGTTGCTTGAGCTGTCTCCCCGAGTCCACAATAGCAACAAGCTGGGGTTGAAAGCAGAGGCAGGGCTCCAACTCTGGTTTTCCTATGTGTAATGCCGTCCCACACAGCGTCTTAATTGCTGTGCCAAACACCCACTCCATTCATGGTTTTCTTTTAATATTGTGTTTTTGGAATAAATAAATTGGTTTGTATTGCCTTTGAGAATTCTCTGCTGCTTGTATCCACATGATAAAGTCATTTGTTAGTGCTGTGAAAATCATTCAAAGTACTTATGTGAAAATTTATCTTTTAACTGCAAGATCAGTCAGTCATTCAGGAAGGCAGTAATTTTTTTTTTTTTTTTTTTTTGGACAGGCAGAGTTAGAGAGAGAGAGAGAGACAGAGAGAAAGGTCTTCCTTTTCTGTTGGTTTACTCTCCAAATGGCTGCCACAGCCAGCGTGCTGCGCCGATCCGAAGCCAGGAGCCAGGTGCTTTCTCCTGGTCTCCCATGCAGGTGCAGGGCCCAAGCACTTGGGCCATCCTCCACTTGGAAGGCAGTAATTTTTGGTGACTAAAAATGTGGACTGGGGAGCCAAACATGGATTTTTAGGCCCAGTTCCACATTTTACTAGTCTAATCTTGAGTGAGTTATTTGAGCACTGAGTCTCAGTTTCCCACTGCAAAGTAGGGATAATAGTAAATCAGTGCAAGGATGAGATTGAACCTCTCCTGTACCGGTCAGTGTCTGGTGAACTGGACGAGAGAGGGCCCCAGAATGCGAGCTGGACCTCACCTTGCCTACTGCTCTGCATCCCAGATCTCACTCACTCACCATTCACTTAGCAGGTGTTTCTGGAGCACTAACTACATGCTCTGACAGCATAAGCTCTAAGCCATAAGTACAGCCTCATGAGCTTGATGGGAAAGGCTGTCTAGGGTGTGAATGAGAAGAGAAAGGGAGGGCAAGGTACTGTTGCTGGTAGCATGAGCAACGAACAGCTTCCCTGTTTGTCTGTTTTGAAGTAAAAGTGATTTATTGGTGGTTTGGAAGCCTGAATAGAGGACAGGGATCCTGAGGTGCATTGGGTGTAGAAGAAGGAGCAGCCTCCATTACCGAGGGCTGTGTAAGGAGACCCAGGTCTCTGTGAAAGCAGAAGATGAAAGGAAATTCCTGGAAGAGGCTGAGAGTCTCAATGGA